TCCAACTCAAAAAAAAAAAAAAAAATGTGTTTTCTTAAATAACAAAATGTGAATGAGACACTGGTTATTTTACCAAGGTTTTAACTGAAATATTTCGAAACAGGCTGCTTTAAAGAATTCTGAAACAGATCTGGACGCCTTAGATCAGATAGGGAGAGATTTTCGATCTTTAGCTAGGCAGGATTACACACACTGCCAGCTTTGAAGTAGCTACAGAAAATGGACCTTCACCCCTCAGCACCCAATATAATTATGGGATCGAAAATCTCTAAGGGGGAATTGAGGCAGGGTACCTAGTGTAGGTTAGACATAAATAGATAAATTTCCTGGTTGGGCATGGTGGTTCATACCTATAATCCCAGCACTTTGGGTGGCTGAGGTGAGAGGATTTCCTAAGCCCATGGGTTCAAGACCAGCCTGGGCAATTTGGCAAGACCTGATCTCTACAATAAATAAAAAAATTAAGCCGGGCTCAGTGGCTCAGCCTGTAAACCCGCATCTTTGGGAGGCTGAGGTGAGTGGATTGCCTGAACCCGCGGGTTCGAGACCCGCCTGGGCAGCGAGACCTCATCTCTACAATAAATCAAAAAATCAGCCGGGTGTGGTAGTGCATGCCTGTAATTCTGGCTACTTGGAAGGCTGAGGCGGAAGGATCGCCGGAGCCCATCAGGTCGAGGCTGTGGTGGCCGGGAGCAGCCAGTGCACTCCAGTCTGGGTGACAGGGTGAGACTCCAACTCAAAAAAGTAAAAATAAAAAAATAAAAAAATTAACCAGGTGTGGTGGCATGTGCCTGTAGTATCAGCTACTTGGAAAGCTGAGGCGGAAGGATTGCTGGAGCCCAGCAGGTCGAGGCTGTGGTGGCTGGGAGCGGCCACTGCACTCCAGTCTGGGCGACAAAGTGAGACTCCAACTCAAAAAAAAAAAAAAAAAAAAGATAGGAGGTGCTCATAACAAAATATGTTGACCACTTGGGACAAATTTTAACCACGGTTCGTAAGCTTGCTTCCCCTAGGAACTTCCTGGACCACAAAGAACCCAGACATCCCTTCCACCCAGGGAAGCAGGTGCTGCTAAAGGACTGGAGAGAAAGAGGACCCAACCAACAGCTGTGCGAGAAGTGGAAGGAACCTTGTGATGGCTCACTCGTCATTCCTACCGCATTAAATCTCACAGGCATCAAACATTGGATACAACATTCCCGAGCAAAAAAGTATATGCCTGAACAGAGAGACCCTGTTTCCAGATCAGCACCACAGCCTCAGTGGATAGCAGAGCTGGTACAGGACTTAAAGCTGCTATTTAAGCAAACAAAATGATTCTTACTCTTCTCATTCTGTTACGCTATATTATAACTACCAAGGGGAATGTGTATTTAGAGTGGGCCTATTATGCTAGTACATTCAATTACTCAAATTGTTGGATCTGTGGGCAACTTCCAGTCCCGGGAGCCTGGGCTCCCCTGGTGGGTCTCACCCCTCCAGGGGACTGACTGGAAGCAGTTAGATCTGTACATTCAAGTGTTCAGAGTGGGACGTCAAGCAGCTAACAGTGATGACTTAACAAGAAATAGTTCGCAGCAGTGGCCCATTAAGGAAACTATAGATGAACCAGGCCATGATGATTTCACCTTTTCGTGCTGATCTACCATAAGAGACAATATACTAATCTTAACCAACATAACCAGTGTGAGCCTGAAGCCCCGAGTCTCAGTTATCAAACCATGGAAGGGTTCCATCAGAGATGGGATGGGATATATGGCTCACACCTGAATATGGTAGATTACATAACCAGCCCCTTTCTGGTGGGAACAAAAAACCACTCAAGGCAACATCGTGAATGCAACCTGACACATAGGCTGGCTCCCTTTAGAACAATGCCAAAGTGTTAGTGTCCTTATGGACAGCAATTTGTTTGCCACCAACTGGACTCAGAGGCCTGGGGTATACTGGTGAGCTCCCGATGGGACTCGGTGGATGTGGTACTAATTTTTTTTTTGAGTTGGAGTCTCACTCTGTCACCCAGACTGGAGTGCAGTGGCCGCTCCCGGTCACCGCAGCCTCGACCTGCTGGGCTCCGGCGATCCTTCCGCCTCAGCCTTCCACATAACCAGAATTACAGGCATGCGCTACCACGCCTGGCTGATTTTTTGATTTATTGTAGAGATGAGGTCTCGCTGCCCAGGCGGGTCTCGAACCCACGGGCTCAGGCAATCCACTCACCTCAGCCTCCCAAAGGCGCGGGATTACAGGCTGAGCCACCGAGCCCGGCTGATGTGGTACTAATTTAATGGCCTTGGCGTCCCTCTGGATGGATTGGTAGATGCACTCTGGACTATCCATGGGCCCAAGGACACAAACATAGCACTCTGCAAAAAGCAAACTTAGCCAACTTGACCTATCTGCACACTCGATGGACTAGATCTGTTTGCAAATGTTACAACTATGTCTTTAATTTCTTTTTACCCAATATAGGGATGGAAAGTGTGTCCCTCCACATTGAAGCCTTAGCTAAGTTCATAAGCAAGCCTTGAATGAAAGCCTACCAAAGCTGGGATTGATTACAGGCGTGAGCCACTGTGCCTGGCTTTTTTTTTTTTTTTTTTGAGTTGGAGTCTCACTGTTGCCCAGACTGGAGTGTAGTGGCACCCTCATGGCCACTGCAGCCTTGACATGCTGGGCTCCAGTGATCCTTCTGCCTCAGCCTTCCAAGTAGCTGGAACTATAGGCATGCACCACCACGTCCAACTAATTTTTTTGTATTTATTTATTGTAGAGACTAGGTCTCAAGTTGCCCAGGCTCGTCTCTAACCCTAGGCTCAGGCAATCCTCTCGCTTCTGCCTCCCAGAGTGCTGGGATTATAGGTGTGAGCCACCATGTGCCCTGAGAGAGACCTTATTTCTTGCTGGAGAAATAGGGGAAGTGGCGATGGCACTGCATTTTGTAAGATAAGTAGGATTTTGATTTGCAGAGATAGCAAACAGGAAACTGCGGAAGCAGTAGCAGGAAATGGAATAATGGAGAGGGTATTGTTAGGTTTGACTACATATGAAGGTCTGTTCAGGGGCATGCCCATGTTTAGATGAAGAAGCCAAGTTCAATAAAAAGGAAATGACTTGCTCAAGGCATCCAAGGAATCAGTTTAAAAATCTCTGGTCCCACGCTCCCATTACATATCACTGGGATACGGGTCTCTGGACCTTCCATCTCCTCCCACCCCCTGGATGACGTTCATCAAATTACTCAATCTTTCTGCACCTCTGTTTCCTCATCTGTCAACTGAAAGTGCCTACCTAGTAGGGTTGTGAGATTTGAATTATTAGAGGGCTTAGGACAGTGCCTGGCACACAGTAAAGTACTTAGTAAGTTTTTAACTCAAACGATCAGGCGCTCAGGGCAGGAAATCAGGGACACGAATCAGGGTCAGGTTTATGATATGGGACAGAACAGGGCTTCCTTTCTTCTTGGGCATGGGCGCCTTGGTAAAGTGAAGACCACCCACCCTCCCATACCAAGGGCACCTGATTCTTCTCCCCCTAAAGATAAGGTGTTGAGTGTGGATGATCCACCCACTGTGTGACTTCAGACACATCACTTCCTTTCTTAGATTCCTATGACTTGCCTTCCTCACAGGGCAGGACAATACAGGGAAAAAGACTTTAAACTATAGTTGGTCCAAGAACAACATGGGTTTGAGCTGGATGAGTCCACTTAGATGCAAGTTTTCTTTTTCCCCAACCAATCATGTATCAATGATATTGCTTGAGGGAGCTAAACCCATATATTTTGAAGGCCAGCTTTTCATATATGCAGAGTCTGCCGGGCTAACTGCAAGACTTCGGTATGCACATTTTGGGTTTTTTTTTTAGTTGGAATCTCACTCTTTCGTCCAGGTGGGAGCGCAGTGGCATGCTCACGGCCACTGCAGTCTGGGCTCAGGCAATCCTTCCACTTCAGCCTTCCAAGTAGACGGAATTACAGGCGTGGGAAACCACACCCAACTAATTTTTTGACTTATTGTAGAGACAGGTCTTGCCATGTTACCCAGGCTGGTCTCGAACCCTTGGGCTCAGACAATTCTCTCCCCTCCCTTCCCAAAGTGCTGGGATTACAGGATGGAGCCACGGCACCCAGCCAAAGGCCATGTTTTCTTTCTTTAAAAAAAAGCCAAAAAACCCAGAGTCTCTGTCACCCAGATTGGAGTGCAGTGGCACCCTCACGACCACCGCAGCCTCGACCGACTGGGTTCAGGCAATCCTGCCTCAACCTTCTGAGTCGCTGGAACTACAGGCACACGCCACCACCCCCAGCTAGTTTTTGTTGTTGTTTGTTTGTTTGCTTTTTATTTGTAGAGACAAGGTCTCAAGTTGCCCAGACTGGTCTTGATCCCCAGGGCTCAGGCAATCCTCTACCTCCCAAAGTGCTGGGATTACAGGCATGAGCCACCGCGCCCGACAGGGTCATGTATTTCAAGGTCACGTATTCTGCGCTGAGAGCAGGAAAGAGGAAGTACTAGTGGATACGGATGGGGGCCAAATCCTTTCAACCACAGCACACAGCTGGAGCAGGGAGCTGACGTGGGACGCAAGACCTGGTTCCTAATCCTACCTGACATTGCTCCAGCCCCTCCATCTCATCCAAATATCGTGGGTGGGGGGTGTCTAGAGGGTTCTCAATGCCCTGAGAGACAAGATCTCGCGGGCGTGTCGTTTGGAGGATCTTCCACCGAGCAGCCGCCTCTCCTGCCCCGCCATTCGACTTTGGCGCCCTCTGGCGTCGAAAAGGAAAGCGACGCGCCTGCGCTCTCCCCGCCCTCCGCCCTGCGTCTGTTCCCGTGGTAGGGTTGGCACCTATACCTTTAAGATGATTGTCCTAGCGGAGGAACTGGAGGATGGAGCCCAAGAGCGCTCCCTAGAGGCTCCCGCCGATTGGCCCAGTCTGGGAAAGTGTAGCAAACTCCACACAAATCATTGGCCTTTGCTCCGACTCCGCCCCTTGAAGCTATAGAGAACGCCCGTGATTGGTCAGGTGTTCTGGGGAGGGGCTTGGAGCGTGGCGCGAGTTTCCCTGAATGCGCGGCTGCCGCGGGGCTGGCGGGATGTCGGTGGCTGGTGGGGCGACGCGTGGGCACCCGGGGGCGGAGGGCACCGCTGCTGCCGACCAGTTCACCTTCAGCCCGGAGCCCACACTCGAGGACATGTAAGCAGTCCTTGCCCAGCCCGGGGTGGGGAGGTCCACCCTTTCTTCCGCATATGGGGAGGGGCCCTCCTCGTGGTCGGGAAGAAGGCTAGCGGCCGTGCTCGGTCCCGGCCCTGCTGGCTGACTCCGGGCGAGCCTTCTGACCTCCTCGTCTGCAAAGTGGGCTCCGCAGTGCACACTTGAGGTGGGGGAAATAGGGGGGTGCGTTGTAAGACTAGAACAGAGCCGGGCGCGGTGTCACGCCTGTCATCCCGGCACTTTGGGAGGCGGAAGCGAGAGGATTGCCCGAGCTCAGGGGTTCAGATCAGCCTGATCAACTTGGCGAGACCTCGTCTGTACAATCAATCAAAAATTTAGCCGCACGTGGTGGGGTGCGCCTGTAGTTCCAGCTACTTGAAAGGTTGAGGCGGAAGGATTGCCCGAGCCCAGAAGCTTGCCACCACGCTCAACTCATTTTCTCTGTTTTTGAGTTGGAGTCTCACTCTGTCACCCAGGCTGGAGTGCAGTAGCACGCTCACGGCCACCACAGCCTTGACCTCCTGGGCTCAGGTGATCCTTCCGCCTCTGCTTTCCAATTAACTGGAACTACAGGCACACGCCACCGTGCCCGGCTCATTTTTTTTGATTAATTGTAGAGATGAGGTCTCGCCAAGTTGCCCGGGCTTGTCTTGAACCCCTGGGCTCAGGCAGTCCCCTTGCCTCGACCTCTCAAAGTGCTGGGAGTATAGGTGTGAGCCACCACGCCAGGCTCTTCTGCTTATTTATTGTAAACAAGGTCTCAAGTTGCCCAGGCTAGTCTCTAACCCTAGGCGCAGGCAGTCCTCTTGCTTCTGCTTTCCAAAGTGCTGGGATTGTAGGTGTGAGCCGCCGTGCCCATGGGACACCTTATTTCTTGCAGGAGGAAAGTAAGGAAGGTTTCTTGGGGAAGTAGCTGTGGCACTGCATTCTGTAAGATAAATAGAATTTTGATTTGCAGAGATAGCGACATTCCTTCAGATGGAGGAAACTGCGGAAGCAGCAGCAAGAAATGGAAAAATGAAGAGGGTGTTGTTAGGTTTGACTAGATACAAAGTTGTGTTCAGGAGCATGCCCATATATAGATGAAGAAGCCAAGTTTCATAAAAAGGAAATGAGTTGCTGGGCTTGGTGGCTCAGCCTGTAATCCCGCGCCTTTGGGAGGCTGAGGTGAGTGGATTGCCTGAGCCCACGGGTTCGAAACCCACCTGGACAGGCGAGACCTCATCTCTACAATAAATCAAAAAATCAGCCGGGTGTGGTAGCACGCGCCTGTAGTTCTAGCTACTTGGAAGGCTGAGACAGAAGGATCGCCGGTGCCCAGCAGGTCGAGGCTGCAGTGGCCGGGAGCGGCCACTGCACTCCAGTCTGGGTGACAGAGTGAGACTCCAACTTAAAGGAAAAACAAAAAAAGGAAACGAGTTGCTCAAGGCTATCCAAGGAATCAGTTTAAAAATCTGGTCCCATGTTCCCATTACATATCACTGGGGTACCCCTCTCTGGACCCTCCATCTCCTCCCCCACCCCCTAACCCTGGAGCTTGGGCTTCTCTCCCTTTGTCTTATTCCAGCCGACGCCTCCATGCTGAGTTTGCCGCTGAACGAGACTGGGACCAGTTCCATAAGCCTCGGAATCTCCTCCTGGCCTTGGTGGGGGAAGTGGGGGAGCTGGCAGAACTCTTGTGAGTAGACAGAAGGCTCCCTGGAAAAGTCTGTATGTTGTGGAGGGGGAAGAGCACATTTACCTGATCATCAAAAAACATTCATAGGTTCAACTGTCCCTCCTCACCACCCTCCTCTGTGTATGGTTCTGGGCATACAGAGATGACTTGTGGGTCATTGCCCTCTAGGGGCACCCTGTCTCCTGGAAGAGAAAGATGTGAAAATAACATGGCAGAGCCAGGTCTAAGAAAGAGGGGTGGCAACGCCCTTTTCCTCTGCCTCTGGGGATGAAAGTATTCCATGCAAGACCTGCATTCCTGACAGAGGGACTGCGTTTGCAAAGTTAGTGAGGCAGAAAATGGCAAGTTAATTTTAGGGAGAAACTGATACACCTTCAGTGTAATATTCTTAAGAAAAATCAGGGATTTTCTATCTCTTGTGTTCTCTGGTGTGTTCCACGTGCCCCGCACATCGTAGGCACTCAGTAGATATGTACCGAATGAGTGATGGGGCCAGGCATGGTGGCTAAGGCCTGTAATCCCAACAGGTTGGGAGGCAAAGGCAGGAGGATCACTTGAGGCCAGGAGTTGGAGACCAGCCTAGACCAAATAGTGAAGTTTGGTCTTTACCCAAAAAAAAAAAAAAATTGGCCGGGCTCAGTGGCTCAGCCTGTAATCCCGTGTCTTGGTGGGAGGCTGAGGTGAGTGGATTGCCTGAGCCCACGGGTTCAAGACCCGCCCAGGAAACTTGGCACAGACCTCATCTCTACAATAAATCAAAAAATCAGCTGGGCGTGGTAGCACGCGCCAGCTACTTTGAAGGCGGAGGCGGAAGGATCGCCGGAGCCCAGCAGGTCGAGGCTGCGGTGGCTGGAAGCGGCCACTGCACTCCAGTCTGGGCAACAGAGTGAGACTCCAACTCAAAAAGAAAACATTGGCTGAGTGTAGTGGTGTACACTTGTAGTTCCAGTTACTCAGGCAGCTGAGGTGGGAGGACCCCTTGAGGTGAGGATTTAAGGCTGCAGTGAACCATGTTTGTGCCATCGTTCTCCAGTACTGGGCTGCAGAGCAAGATCCTGACTGAAGAAAAAATAAATAAATAAATAAACAAACAAAGAGTGCAAGGACAGTGTGGAAGAGATGGGTGGGAGTTAAACCTTGAGAGATAGGATTAGGGCTAGAGAGCGATGGAGAATTTGGAAGAATACCTGACCAGATTTGAGTCCTAGAAAGATCACTGAGTCTACAGGGGTGACTGGCTGGGTGTCTGAGCGAATGGAGCAGGGAAGACCAGTGAGGAGGCTGGGGTAGACCAGACAAGAGGTGGGTGAGTCCTAGACTAGGGCAGTCATTGGGGATGGAGAAACAAAGGTACAGAGATGTGTGTGAGGGCAAACCTTTCATTCGCTGCAGATTTAAGAGCATCAGCATTCTGCTGGGTCTTCTAGAATCAAGAGATACAGTCTTGAACCAGGCAGTCATGGTTCCTACCTTCGTAGTGGAAGGAGACTGACAATAAGTAAATGATCTAATTTTAAAAGATCTGGAATGAAGATAAGTTCTATGAGAAAAATAACACAAGGTAATGAGAGAGAAGGTAACAGGGAGAAGGCTTGACTGAGGAGGCCACATCTAAGCTGAGACCTGCATAACAGGAAAGATCTGGGAGGAAACACTCAAGGCAGAGGGCACAGTAAGTGCAAAGGCCCTGTGACAGTTGTCTTGTTTGCAAGGCAGAGAAAAGGTAACTTTGGGAGGTTAGTGAGAGTGAAAGACCGGTGGTTGATGACATGGAAAGGACAGGGGTCTGCTTGTACAGGACCTGGAGGACATGATCAGGAATTTAGATCTCATTTTATTTTTTTTATTTTTTTTTGAGTTGGAGTCTCACTCTGTCACCCAGACTGGAGTGCAGTGGGCACTCCCAGCCACTGCAGCCTTGACCTGCTGGGCTCCGGCGATCTTTCCGCCTCAGCCTTCCAAGTAGCTGGAACTACAAGTACGCGCTACCACACCCAGCTAATTTTTTTATTTATTGTGGAGATGAGGTTTCACCAAGTTGCCCAGGTGGGTCTCGAACCCGCAGGCTCGGGCAATCCACTCACTTTGGCCTCCCAAAGCGTGGGATTATAGGCTGAGCCACCGAACCCGGCTAGGAATTTAGATTTTATTCCAAGCACAGTTAGGGGTGCTTTTGCAGGGAAGGGACAAAATGTCATTCAATTGTGTTGGGTTTGTCCTCGGAGGAACTTCTGGGAGGTGGGAGTTCATTACTGCAGGGACTAGGGTGCCCCTAAGAGGCATCTATGTGTGTCTGCCTGTGTTCTGTCCCCAGTCAGTGGAAAACCGATGAGCCTGGTCCCCAAGCTTGGCCCCAGAAGGAACGGGCAGCTCTTCAAGAGGAGCTTAGTGATGTCCTCGTCTATGTGGTGGCATTAGCAGCCCGCTGCCGTGTGGATCTGCCGCAAGCAGTGCTCGCCAAAATGGACATTAACAGGAGACACTACCCAGTTCACCTGTCCCGTGGCTCCTCCCGCAAGTATACAGAATTGTTTGATGGGGACACCTCTGGAGACCAGGCTGTGGGGCCTTCAGACCTTGCTCATGAGTCCACTGGCCATGCCTCATCCTAGAAGCATGGCGTGTGATGAGCCGAGATTGGCCTGGCCACAAAACCGTGTTCATGTCCTTTCCTAATACGACATTGGCCTGCGGGCCCCATTTTCTGAAGTCTGGGTCCAGCATTCTCCAGATATTAGCCTCTTGCAATTTTCTCTCCCAATAAAACAGTTTTGAGCAACAACTACTAGAGTGTTCCTGGGTGACCAGGGAGACTGTGTCTCAGCAGGTGCTGGAAAGGGGCACCAGGGGTGACAGCCCAATTCCCATGTTTCTCTAGTGTACTGCCCACCTGCAGGGCAGAGGGATCTGGTTTCTAGCTAATTCCCAGTGGGATCTCATGTAAATTCCTTCCCCCTTCTGGGCCTAGGAAAGAGATTGGAGGCTATGTGAAGTATTGGTTAAGTCCAGATTCTGGGGCCACACGTTCTGGTTTCGAACACGTTCTGGTTTCGAACCACACGTTCTGGTTTCTAGTTTTCGAACTGTGTGATGTTCATCAAATTACCCAATCTTTCTGCACCTCTTTCCTCATCTATCAACTGAAAGTGCCTACCTAGTAGGGTTGTGAGGTTTGAGCTGTTAGAGTGCTTTGGACAGTGCCTGGAACATAGTAAAGTACTTGGTAAGTTTTTAACTCAAATGATCAGGGGTCCAGGGCAGGAAATCAGGGACACAAATCAGTGTCAGGTCTCTGATACAGGGCAGAAGAGCGCTTCCTCTCCTCTGGGGCATGGGCCCCTTAGTAAAAGTGAAGACAACCCACCCTCCCATACCAATGCCAGCTGATTCTTCTCCCCCTGAAGATGGTGTTGAGTGTGGATGATCTACCCACTGTGTGACCAGGCACATCACTTCCTTTCTGAGATGCCTGTTGATTGCCTTCCTCACAGGGCAGGGCAATATAGGGGAAAATATGTTTAAATTACAACTGGTCCTTGAACAACATGGGTTTGAGCTGCATTGGTCCACTTACATGAAGTTTTTTTTTTTCCCAAACGTGTATCAACAATACAGTATTAGTGGGATGCAGAATTCGTGTATTTGGAAGCTCAGCTTTTTGTGTATGTGGAGTCTGCAGGGCCAACTGCAGGACTTAAGTATTCAGAGATTTTGGACATACAGGGGTGGGCATGTGTTCTGGAATCAATCTCCCTTGTATACACCGAGGCACAGCTATACTTTTCAGAATTCACAGTGGTCATTGTCTTGCTGCCCCTCTGAGCCTGTTTCCATATCAGCAAAATGAGGACTTCCCCTTTAATGGCCTCACTCTGATAACCCTCTTATCCAGTGACTCCTCTCTCCGAGGTGACAGTGTGCATCACATTGGAGGGCTTCAGCTGTCTGTTCCCTAACCCACCTTTCCTTTCCCTCTCCGGTGATAGCAGGAACCTTATTTTACTAATCCCTGATTTCTTTTTTTTTTTTTTTGAGTTGTGGTCTCACTCTGTTGCCCAGACTGGAGTGCAGTGGCCGTTCCTGGCCACCACAGCCTCGACCTGCTGGGCTCCGGCGATACTTCCGGCTCAGCCTTCCAAGTAGCTGGAACTACAGGCGTGTGCTACCACGCCCGGCTGATTTTTTGATTTATTGTAGAGATGAGGTCTCGCTGCCCAGGCAGGTCTCGAACCCGCGGGCTCAGGCAATCCACTCACCTCAGCCTCCCAAAGGCACAGGATTACAGGCTGAGCCACCGAGCCCAGCTCTTTTCCCTGTATTTATAACATATGCATTAGACACCAGAGCAGCAGCTTACTACTCCCCACTTTGTGAAACACTTTTCTCACAAGACACATTTCCGGTTTTCTTCCTACCTTGGGCTGTTCTTTCTAGACTCTTGGGTACCTTTCTCTCTGGACATGGTGTCATGGACTCCAGATCTGGTATCTCTGATCTGTCATTTCTGATCACCTCCCTGATGCCTCTACACTTACCTCATTATCAGACAAGTCCTGTCCTGCTTCTAATCCTGTGCCCCCATCTCAGTAACACAGCCCTGCAGTCGGCCCTGCAGTCATCCAAGCTAAGACGTGAACTCAGTCTCATCTCAACCCCAGATCCACTCTGAATTCCAGTTCGTTAAGGATGTCAAGTCCATCCTCCCCCCTCTAATGTCTCAAGCCTTCTTTTCTGCCTTTAGTCCTTTAACCTGTTTCCAAGTTCCCTCTCAATCTAACTCCTGCAAACCCCCTTGCTTTTTGTCCCCACATCCCACCCTGGGACATCTGCAAGCTCTAATGACATGCAGTTTTAGGAACTCTTCATACTTTCCCAGCCCCAGCTTTCTTGGCTTTCAAGACGCAGCTTAAACATCTCTGAGAAGAGCCTCAGGGCCCGTTGACACAGGACTGCAATTGCCTATTTACTTGTCAGGGCTTTGCCATTAACTGACTGTAGCAAAAATAGAAAAGATTTACCCAACTGGGATGTTTTGAGCATGAAGATACACTAATATGTTTATATAACAAAACACTTAAAACCTTTAACATTGTGTTAACAATCTGTCTCCACTAGACTGAGATCCATGATGGTCATGCCTTGCTCACCAAAGCTCTGCAGAATTCGGCACCTGTTTGATCATGCACATACTGTATTTACAGGCCCTTTCTGGCCTAAGGTTATGAGGACATAACCAAGGGTTGAGTGTGTGATGAGCCCCCCCCCACACACACACACATACCAACCTGCTACTAGGAACTCCTTGAGGCTTACAGCCCCACTTCGTTCTGCGACAATTCATTTGTCACCCGAGCCTGGACAACCCCAACTCGACTCCCCCTCCCCCGCACTCACAGGCACCGGTGGGGCGAGGATATAATACTTTATTCACTAACATGGGCCGAGGGAATGTAGTGGGGGGGGGGGGGGGCACGGCTTCCAGGGACCC